CAGATAAAGGGATGTGGCTGCTTCAAACCTGTTCCCCCTCTAGTCTGGCTCATTAGCCGGTGTCTGAAATGCCGAACAACATTTCCACACTGTGCCTGCCAACAGCCTGCCCCAGCACTCCTCACTGCACTCCATCGGGCACCGATCGGCACGCTGAGGAGACGTGTCGGTGTGTGCAAGGCCGGATTTGCTCCCATGCACTGGAATCTTGGTGTGGCCCAGTCAGACTCAGGCAGTGCTTGTGGAGATGGGACCAGCCCGGGGGAGAGTTAGCTGCTTGGAGCAGGGCCTGTGTCTTCCCCTGGCCCCACTCAGAGCGGGGCACCGAGGATTGCACAAAGAATACAGTCGAGGTGTGCTGCCCTTGGCCCTTCAGGATTATTTTCTCTCCCATTGTCTCAGATTGTTACAGATGCTTTTGTAGACTGTGGCTGCATTTGCAACACAATTTGCATGCACAACTCCTGCAGTTACATGCACAAGCATGGGAAATGCGGCTAGACGCCCGCCAACTATTTGCCTGGGCATGTATCACCACTGAACATGCATCCTAACACCTGGGCCCAATTGCGCCCCCTCTTATTCTTCGTCCGTGGGCAAGGAGGGGCCAGGGAAGGGTGTCTGCGTTCCCCACAGGTGGCTGGATTGTCTCAACCTCCTCCCAGCATGACACCTCTCAGCCCCTGAGCAGTAGCTGAGGTGCTCCCTCGGGATGGGGTCTCAGGCAGGCACCGGGTCTCTGCTGCAGGGGGGCAGCCTGAGATCACACAGACAGTGGGGCCATGACCGGGATCATTCAGGTTCCCTGCACACAGGAAAGACTTCATTTGCACCTTATAGGATTGAAACAGGATCCAGATGCAGATCTGCTGGTGTCTCATGCGCTGCCCATTTGGGGTGACTCCCAGGGTGGGCAGGCTCCACTCCCCCATACCAGAGTCTGAATTGTGTGGTCCAAACTCAGACCATCCACAGACCCAAAGCTTTGGCACATGCTTTGCCAGACTGAGGCCAAACATTTTCCAAGAGACCAAGGCCACCGTTTTTGCTCCCATGATATCTCTGTTCTGTGACACCATTTCGTGTCTCCGCCAAGGCCCTTCAGGCCTGGCCGCTAACATTACGCTTCTCAGCTGTCACGTTAAAGGGCCCCAGATCGCTTTGGTCTTTGTTTCAATTCTGTTTATTGACGATTTTCCATATTCACTGAACCCCAAGCAAACAGAGACAATATAATACAGCAGTGCAGGGAGCCCACTAGCTTGGTGTCCCCGTGGACTAGCATACGGCATGTCAGAGTATAACCCAAATCCTTATCGTTCCTGAGCCGCGCAAGGGAGAGCAATGGGGCTGGAGCAGAAATGGGGTAGAGAGATGTTTGGCATGAGAGCGGAGGGGATTCAGGCAAAGAAAGGCTGCCTGAGACCTGCGCCTGACCCAGGACACGGAGCAGCAGGATTTGATGGGCAGACCCCCGCTGCAGATAGTCAGGCTGACATGCACCCAGCTGACACAGCCTGGCAGGGCGTCCAGCTCAGGATTCTGCGAACTCCCCTCCTGTGTTTGTGCTTCTCCCAGGCTTGGCACTGGCTGGGAGCTGGCCTCTGGCAGGATGCCATAGGTCACCAGGTGGAAGCCAGCCCTTCCCCCTGCTGGCCCCGCCCCACCCAGGCAGGGTTTAAATCCCCCCAGCTCAGCCTGAGTGCTCAGAGATAGCCCCTGACAGCACCATGAAGGCAGGTGCCATCTTCCTCCTTCTGGGGCTCCTCACCCTGGGGAACACCGAGAAACGCGGTGAGTGGTTTGCCTTGTTCCTCTGGCCCAGGGCAGGCCGGGGGGGGGGGGAAAGAGCAGTGTGCCGTCATGGTGCGATGCAAGCCATGGCCATGGGGTATCTAGAACCCAGCAGCGGCTTGGCCTTCGATGGCTGGGTAACGAGGAGCTCCATAGTCCTAGCCCTGCGTGGCGCTGACGTGGGCTCAGAGGAGGAGCCGCCACATGCTGCCCATGGAAATCCACCCTGCTTCCAGGGCTGCCTTTCCGGCTGGGCCCTTGCCCAGGGACCAGGCCATGCATGCTGTAAGATCTGCCCGGAGCACACTCAGCACGTGCAGTACGCAGCCCCAGTGCACAGCCATGCAAGCGCACGCAGGTATTTATATCTGTAAGTTGCAGGTGGACGAGCGAGGCCAGGGATTGAACACCTCAGTCCCGAGCCGCCCACCCCCAGGACTGGCCATGCTGACAGCTGCTGTCAGCTCTGGGTGGCACTGCGCCAGTTCTATCTGGTAAGGCTGGTTTTTAAGAGGCCCAGACATTTTTGCCACCTGGCTTCACCCCCTTCTCAGAGCAGGGACCAGCACAATGCTGTAAACACGGGAGCTCTGTCCACACTCCAGCTGCCAGCCCGGCTTTCCCAGCCCAGCTGCACCGTGGAACAGGCTCTTCTGGGTTTCGGAGGGAAAGAATTGACTAAACAGCAGTGGATTTCAGACTCAGCCATGCTAACGTCTCCAACGGGAAACGACTAAGGGTGGCTGCAAAGCCTCTGATCTGTAACCGGTGCTGGCCCTCAAATGGACAACAAGCTAGCTGTCCGGCCTGCAACTCCTGCTGCAAAAGGAGTCTCTGGCCAATCTGGTCTCTCTCCGCACTCTCCAGGTGAGACAGGGACTAGAAAGCCAGACAATCCCCAGCCCAGAATGCTGCCCGAAGCCTGGTAGCAAGACTGCTAATACATCTATCAAATCGGGGGTGGTACGTGTGACTGGAGAATAGCCAAGATAATGGCTGTATTTAAGAAAGGGGGGAAAAGTGATCCTGGAAAATACAGCCCCTTTAGCCTGACCTCTGTAGAACATAAGGGTTTCGAACAAATTGTGAAGGAAAGAATAAAGACGGGGAGGTAAATGGAAAATGGGATAAAATGCTCCAGGGGTTTACCAACGGCAGATTGTGCCTGACTAACCTGGTGTCTTTCTTTGATAAGAGAACTGATTCTCTAGATGATGAAGTTAATGAAGATATCCCATCTCCTAGAACTGGAAGGGACCTTGAAAGGTCATCGAGTCCAGCCCCCTGCCTTCACTAGCAGGACCAAGTACTGATTTTGCCCCAGATCCCCAAGTGGCCCCCTCAAGGATTGAACTCACAATCCTGGGTTTAGCAGGCCAATGCTCAAACCACTGAGCTATCCCTCCCCCTAATCTAATCTAGCAGGACGTCAGTAAAGCATCTGACAGGATGCAGCTAGTTAAAGTGGAGAAAATGGGATTAGCACAAGAATTGTGGTGTGGGTGAGGAGCTGACGATAGGGGAGATGACCCCGAAAGGGGTTGTGTTGGAAGGGGGAGGGCCGGGCTGGAGGGAGGTTCTTGGTGGAGCTCTTCTAGGAGCAGTCTTGGGACCAATCTTATTTGATAGTTTGATTGGTGACCTTGGCACAGAAAGCAGGAGTGAGCTAATGAAATTGGCTGAGGTCACAAAGTTGAGACATTTTGTTTCAAATGTAGCTCCATTTAACAAAAATAAAGGTAAAAGCCACTTGGAAAGTGAAGGTTTTGCTCCACCGGAAATGACCGTTTGTGTGTGTGTCTTGGCCACTGAACTGAAAGCTCCATCCTTCGCCCAGCGCGAGAGTCAGAGGCAGCGCCACAGCTGAGGGGCCGGGTTCTGCTGCCCCTGATGTTGGGGGAGCAGGATCAGGCCCTTCCATCTCCTGCGCGCATCAGACCTCAGCCAGGCAGCAGGTTCTTCCGTGGCAAAACCCCAGGGAGACCCACAGGCACTGGGGTGAACGCTGAACATCTCCGCTCGACCCTGGGAGAGGCAACGCCGGCCTTTCACTGCGGGCTGTTTGCCTTCGACGGGCGCATCGCCCCAGGCTAGGAGCAACTGACGCACAGCAGCCCAGTCACACATCTGCAACAGAAGCACGTTCTGCTCTGCTGCGGCTCCCCGCGGCGCAGGCCCGGGACGGGCTGGGTTAATGGGCTGAGGCATGGACATGATGGGGGGCTTTAGAATAGTTCATAAATATTCACCCGTCTAAACCTTACAGCAACTCCCTGCAGCTTCGTGCTGTGCCTCCCTTCTCTTGGGGTAATGACAGTCCTCTCCAGCAAGAGCCCCCAGCTTCGGGCACTTGGCCTCGAGGATCAGGCCGGGACCCTGCATTTCCAGGCTGGGTGGGGAGAGCGCAGCAAGGACAGCTGCTCCCCTCCCAGCAGGGCATTCCCTGCAGAACAAGGTTCAACAAGGACAAGTGCAGAGTCCTGCACTTAGGACGGAAAAATCCCATGCACTGCTACAGACTAGGGACCGAATGGCTAGGCAGCAGTTCTGCAGAAAAGGACCTAGGGGTCACAGTGGACGAGAAGCTGGATATGAGTCGACAGTGTGCCCTTGTTGCCAAGAAGGCTAATAGCATATTGGGTGTATAAGTAGGAGCATTGCCAGCAGATCGAGGGACGTGATCAATCATTCCCCTCTAGTCGGCATTGGTGAGGCCTCATCTGGAGTATTGTGTCCAGTTTTGGGCCCCACACCACAAGAAGGATGTGGAAAAATTGGAAAGAGTCCAGCAGAGGGCAACAAAAATGATTAGGGGGCTGGAGCACATGACTTATGAGGAGAGGCTGAGGGAACTGGGCTTGTTTAGTCTGCAGAAGAGAAGAGTGAGGGGGGATTTGATAGCTGCTTTCAACTACCTGAAAGGGGGTTCCAAAGAGGATGGAGCTCGGCTGTTCTCAGTGGTAGCAGATGACAGAACAAGGAGCAATGGTCTCAAGTTGCAGTGGGGGAGGTTTAGGTTGGATATTAGGAAACGCTATTTCACTAGGAGGGTGGTGAAACACTGGAATGCGTTACCTAGGGAGGTGGTGGAATCTCCTTCCTTGGAGGTTTTTAAGGCCCGGCTTGACAAAGCCCTGGCTGGGATGATTTAGCTGGGAATTGGTCCTGCTTTGAGCAGGGGGGTGGGACTATATACCTCCTGAGGTCCCTTCCAACCCTGAGATTCTCTGGCTCTGTGACTGTCTCCTCCAAGTGACATGGGCTCTTGTCTCTTGCACGGCCACAGCTAAGGATGGTGAGTGTCCGGCCGAAATGAAGGGGCCCGCACGCCCCCCTCAGGCCTACTGTCTCTCGGACGAGTCCTGCCCAGGGAGCGAGAAATGCTGCAGCGAAGGCGACAGGAGAGTCTGCGTCCTCCCAGATTCAGGTACTGGCTGATCCCCTACGGGCAGGCAGGAGAGTCTCTTCAACCCCGTCCCAGAATAAAGCACAAGGTGTGTGTGGGTGGGGGGGGGGGGGGCTGACGAGACAAAAGGCAGCTCTAGCACCGTCACAAGGGGGTCTCTGCACAGAGGCATAGCGGCCGGTGGAATTCTCTGCCTGGATGGCGCTACCACCTGTTAAGATTAGGGTGATCAGCTCTCAGGCTTCAGGGCATATGCTGACTGCTGCAGGGGTCAGGAAGGCGCTGCTGAGCTGTACTAAAAGGGGCTCTGTGGGGAGTGAGGCCATGAGCCCTGCACCAGGCGCTGGGAACAGAGATCCTCAGGGCTCTAGGAGAAACGGCTGCCCACAATCAGCCAGAGCCAGGCCCACCCTGCGATGCCCTCACCGGGGCTCTGCCAGAGCCCCCAGACTACAGCAGCTCCTGCCACGTGGCGTGGGGGGAGCCTGACACTGTGTCCTGCCAGCTGAAAAGTGACGTGCGGGGTTTGGCTCTGGCCGTTTGGTCACAATAACCCGCTCCCTATGATGCAATGTAGTCATTGCCTCATCTCCTGGCTCACAGTCCCCAGCTCCCTCCCAGCCTCTGCAGGGGAGGCAAAGGGAGACGTGTCCAAGCCATGCTAGCCAAGGGGCAGACTTCTGCTTCTGCAGAATCGGTGTCAGCACACCCTACAGGAAGGAGAGTGGGGGAACCCATCCAGTCTGGAAACGGCATCTCTTCTGATACAGGCCACAGCTTCCCTGGACTTCAGGCCCCCTCCTTCCCGCCCTTGGGAGTTGCTGTGCTCTGTTGTGTCTGTTCACGACATCACCATGCCCGTTAGAACGGCTGTGGTTACTCACACAGGTGTGCTACATTTTCACACTGCACCTGGTGCTCATTCTGTAGCTGCTCCGGCTGCTCCAGTGAACATATCACACACACCAGGAACTCTTCCTTAGCAGCAAAGTGACAGGCGCTCTAGGGAGATCGGCAGCTCCACAGAAGGGCATTGCTTTGCCATATACCTGCCAGGCCTTGCCTATTTGACCGAGCGATCCACACCCCAGAACTGGGCCGTAAGTACACATGGCTTGACAAATTCCCTGTGCTTTTCCCTTCTCTCCCAGTGCACCCTGGGTATTGTCCCAAGCCAGACCCCGGCCCGGTCACCATCTGTCTTGTGAGCTGCTCTGACGACGCGCAGTGCTCCATGGACGAGAAGTGCTGCGTTATCGGCTGCCACAGAAAATGCACCAAAGCTGAGCCAGGTAAAATGCTGCGAAGTAACTCAGGGGGCTAGCGGCAGGCACCATGGCCCTTTTCCTGGGCCTAGCACGGTCCCTGCATCAGCCTGGTGCACAGGCTGGATTTCCAAACCAGTGAGGTCATGATAACGTGGACATTTCGCACTTACAGCTGTGTGCCGCGTTCGTGCATTCAGTCACGGCAGCTGGCCGCTCATGTGGCAAATCAGGCACGTTTGCCAACCCACTGACCCAATTTGCATGTGAAAACATGGTCATTGTGACATGACCTGGCCTTGCAGCTGTGTGCCTGAACCCTCTGGAAATTGCTCCCTCGCCCCTTGTCCCAGCCTGCTAACCACCCCCAGGGCTCCACTGCAGGGAGGAGTGAGAAAAGCCTTTTTGCAGAATAGCGCATGGCGGAGGCAATGCAATCCAGACTCTGCCTCCCATCCCCTCCTTGACCAGGACTCTCCAGTGAGCACAGATGGAAAGGCGGGGCAGGGGGGATCACTGCAGCAGCCCTGTGGGGCAGAAAAGGCCTGCGCCCACGGGAGGAAATCCCCCCTCCCCCCCACTGCAGAATTCGATCTGGGTAGATAAATGCCACTGCACGCTGGCAAGGCCTCCACAGCCGCTGGGACCTGGCCAGGCAGGCCCCCTCCCCCCCTGCAGGCAGAGAGCCCAGCCGGGCGTGATCAGAACCCCCAGCCCAGCCAGCTGCTTTCGCACAGGCAGAACTTCAGTCCCGAGCAGCCCCGTTGCCTCAGTGGAGCTACCCGGGTGCTTGAAGTGACGCAGGTGCCAAGTGCTTTGCTGGGCCTGGGCCTTGGGCAGCAGAACCCAAGGAGCTGCCTAGCCAGGCAAAATGCCCAGCGGGGGAGGCCCTTGGCCTGGGCTGATAGCGACTAACGGAGGCTTTTGCAATCCGCTGAGCGCTGTCATGCAGGAGAGATGGGTCAGTATGACCCCAGTCCTTATCTGGGTCCAAAATCCTGCAGCTCCCCAGCCAGGGCGGTTTGATTAGAACCAACAAGGAACAAGCCTCTGCACCAGCAGCTTCTGGGAGCCAAGCATCTCCCACACAGTCACGCCATTCTGCACCTGAGCCGGCCTGGCCAGGGCTTTCCCCCCGGCAGCCGACAACCCCTAGATGCTTCTCAGGCCAGGGTGAGGAAGGCCCTGCCCGTTCGCCGACTCGGTTACACTGGACTCTGACTCTTTTCCAGCCTCCCCTGGTGTTTGTCCCAAGAGGAAAGTGCTGCAACCATTTGCTCCTTGCAACAACAAGTGTGATACCGACAGGAGCTGCCCTGCGGAGCAGAAATGCTGCTTCACCGGCTGTGCCCTTGACTGTGTCCCCCCACAAGCAGGTGCCCTCAGCACCGCCCCGCCGCCTGCCCAGTCCGGAGAGGGCTGGGACTGGACCAAACAGACTCCAGAGGGAGGCAGTGTTCCAGGTGAAGAGGGGCCAGGACTCTGAGTGCACGGGGAGGCGGGGGGGTTGGCCCATTTCTCACCCGATCTCCCCACGCCCTGAAGAGTCCCTGCCCTTCTGCAGTGAAGCTGGGCCCTTCCAGCCCTGGGAGGGGCGGTGCCGCAGTGACTGGGACAGCTCAGGAGCAGCACAGGCCTGCAGCCAGTGCTGGGTGCAGCCACCACCGTCCGTCAGTAATGGGTCAGGTTGCCAACCCTCCAGGATTGTCCGGGAGTCTCCAGGAATTCAAAATTAATCTTGAACTACAGATGATGTCCTGTGGTGAAACCTCCAGGAATACGTCCAACCAAAATTGGCAACCCTAGTAACGGGCGGAGGGAGACCTGTGCTTTACAGGCTGTTTTGAACAGCGCCTCTGGACTGCAGCCTTGTTAGCCCAGCAAGCACCTGCACTAGCCGGAGGGGTGTTCTGAGCTCGCTGGCACTTCCTGTGTGCTGGGAACAAGGGCCCAGGGTTATTTCTTGAGCCTAGACCGGAAAGCTCTCTCCTGCTGTGCGAGGGGTCACTGTAACTAGGCGGTAATTAGCCAAGGCGACTGGCGTGAGAGCGGGGGCTGCGTTAGGAGCCCGGCATTCGCTACCAGGCTCGCTTGGACCGTCCCCCCGGGCTGTGCATTTGCAGGAGCTGGTGTGTGCAGAGATGGCTGCACACCAGCCTGCCAGCTTGGTGCCCGCCAGTGCCAGGATCGCGGCGGCAGTGGCGGGTGCAGATCCTCGGTGATGCACGTAGCTGGTCGTTTGCATGCGGCTCTTTCGGAAGGAAAGTGCCTCAGTGTCTCCACCCGAGAAACGAGCGATGGGTGCCTGGGGCTAGCTGAGCGCCACGTACGACCAACATGGTGTTAGTGCCACTAGTACAGGAAACTCAGCGGGGGGGGGGGGTTCTGTCACCCCCTGGCAGTTGTTCCTAGGGCCCCATTTCTGTTGCAGGGAAGCCTGGGATGCCAAGGAAACGTGGCACCTGCCCACCCAACCTCATCAAGTGTCTCTACACGGAGCCCCCTCTGTGCCTCAACGACAGCGACTGCCGGGGACGGCAGAAGTGCTGCTACAACATGTGTCGGTTCCGCTGCGTGGACCCGGAGGAAGGTACCAGAGACGGCGGGCGGCGCCACTCGTGGTGTCAGCGCAAGAGCTAGGCACAGAGTTACTGGGGCAACCCCCCCCCCGGTTCACCGGGTGAGGGCAAACGGTGGCACCCTCGGCTGCGCCCAGCCCCAAACAAATCCCCACAAATCGCCTCTCTCCCCATCCAGCACCGGGCTCATTCCACTGTGTAGCACAGGGATCCGCATCCTGCCCTCCAATGCCCCCGACTTCGGGCACTGCTACTGAGAGCAGCTCTTTTATCCCCGGGGGTGCCCCAAAGACCTGGGGAAGAGCCTGCGGTTAACGACCTGCCCTGGCTGCAATCCCTGGCAGGCAAAGGGCACTGGCCTGCATTGCCCGCTGGCACTGCCTCAGCCATTGGCAGCAAATTGGTTGAGGGTGGCACAAAATGGGCATGGATTAGGGTAGAGGGAAGGCAGGGAGAATGAGTGCTGGGCCGAAATTGGGGAGAGAGGAGCTTGGGCACAGGGTTAAGGCAGGGGGCTGAGAGCACCAAGGGCAGGGGGGCGAGGGCAGGGGGCAGCCAGGGCAGGGGGTGAGGGCACGTAGTTCTCTTTCCTCCCATGGGGATGTCATCTGCCCACCCCCCATCTCACATCTCTGCCCTGTGACCCCTTGTGTTCCAGAGAAACCCGGCATCTGCCCAGCTGAGGCCCCAGAGGGCAGCTTTGATCCCTGCTTTTTCCGCTGCTCCGAGGACAAGGACTGCCTGGGAAGCGAGAAATGCTGCCTCCTGAGCTGTGGGGCCGGCTGCCTGGAGCCCGTGCAGGGTAACGTGTCCTGGCCGTGGCAGCCAAGTACAGAGCCCTGCGCTCGCAGCCAGGGGCCCCCGGCCACCCTGAGACTCCACCCCCAGACCTGCTCTGAGAGATCCTGACTTCCCCAGGCCCCGGGGCTCAGATCTCAGCGGAGGCTGGGCTAGAAGTTGCTGCTCTGGGTGGGACGCTCTGTCCACCAGGAGCTCTCAGCCGGGGGCCAAGAGGTGGCAGGTGCTCGGGACAATGGCTGAGAGCGGAGGGGGGCAGTGTCTGTGGGTGCAGGCAGGGCTGGCGAGGGGGGAGACAGGGCCAGAGCCGGGGGGGGAGACGGGCTGAGCAGAGAGGGGCAGGAAACAGGACCCCAGGACGACACCGAGGCTGCAGTGCTGCCCCGCCCCAGGCTGCAGAGCCCCCAGCCCGCAGCAAGAGGCGACCCAGAGGCCCCAGCCAGGGGATCGCCGCTGCCACAGACCCGCCCTTTGCCGTTTTGGGGCGGGACTTAGGACAACACCTGGGAAAGAGCGAGGCCACTGGACAGCGGCTCGGCGGGTTTGGGGTCGGCGGAAGGACGGCAGATGCTAGGCCCAGCAGCGTTCAACCCCAACCTCTCCCCCCAGCCCTGACCCTCTGGGGCGGGCTGGCGATGTTTAGCCCCCAAGACAGGCAGCCCGGCTCAGACCTTCCCCAGTGCCAGGCTCAAGTTTAACCCCTCGCTTCTGCGGCACAGACAGGGCAGCCTGGGCAGGGGGCCGAGGGCTGGGGGGGCACGTCCAAGGAGGCACTGGCATGAAGGAAAGGCCCCGCAGCTGGGTCCGTGAGGAACAGCTGCAGGGGATCCCAGCCCCAGGGGTCCCACCCAGAGAGGAGAGGTGAGGGGGAGTGAGAGCTTTGGCAGTTCGCCCCCGTCTGGGAAGCCGCTCAGAAACAACAGCCCGGGGGCCCTGTGCTGGCCTTGTGCGCCTTGCCAGCATCTGGTGGCAGCCTTGGAGCAGGGACACTCTCCCCCAGGCACCGTTAAACCCTACTGAGGCAATCGAGGTGCCTGGAGAAAGGCTCTCGGTCTGGGTCTCTGGAATACTCCGAATTCCAGTGGTGGAGGGTTGCCTGGTCAGCACCGGGCCATTAAAAGTCCGGTCGGCGGCGCAGCGGGGCTAAGGCAGGCTCCCTGCCTGTCTTGGCTCCGGGCGGCTCCCGGAAGCAGCGGCATGTCCCCCCTTCAGCTCCTATGCGTAGGGGCAGTCAGGGGGCTCCGCACACTGCCCCCGCCCCAAACGCCAGCTCCACAGCTCCCATTGGCCGGGAATTGGCGGGGTCTTGGAGGTGGGGCATGGGCATGGGCAGGGGCAGGGCAAGGGTGTTCAGTTTTGTGGGAGTCGAAAGTTGGCAGCCCCACTCTAGCGCCCTAGAGGCTCCTGCCCTGTGGACATCTCTCGGGCTGTCCCACGAAGGGTCTGTTCTGGGCCCTCAGATATCTGCCAGCTGCCAGTCCAAGCGGGTCTCTGCGACGTCTACTCCTTCCGGTACTTCTACAATGCCACCGCCCAGAGGTGCGAGCAGTTCTTGTACCGCGGCTGCAGGGGAAACGCCAACAACTTTAGGACAAAAGCCGAGTGTGTCCAGGCCTGCGCAGGCCACGGTAAGGGAGAACATTCCCACGCAGCTGGCTCTGCCTGGGGGGGCTCTGTGCCCCTGCCCCAGGATACCAGGGACACCCCTGGCAGGGCCCTGCTCACTGGAGTCAGTGGGTCCTGGGGGGCGAGAGGGGCTCAGGCCCTGGAGTCTGGGCTGGAGTTGGAAGCGGAGGTGAGGCCAAGAGCTGGAGCAGGGCCCAGGGCGGGGGGATGAAGAGGAGAGAGGGGGCCAATGTGGTGGGGAGACAGGGCCCTGGCTCACTCCCCCATGGAGCTGGGAGGCGTTGCCTGCGTGTGGGCGTCTCAGCCGCCCGCGTGACTGTTCTGTGCCCCAGAGAAGCCCGGCGAGTGCCCAGCCGTCGCGCAGGGACAGGCCGGTGCCTGTGACAAGAAATGCCGCCGCGACGACGACTGCCCGGGTTCCCAAAAGTGCTGTGGGAACGGCTGCGGCTCTGAGTGCACCTCAGTCACCCCAGAAGGTGAGAGCTGCTTGCTGCTGGGGAGGGGGGGGGGCTCACAGGGGTTTCCCTCAACGCATGCACCCCCGAGCGCCCCCAGCTCCCAGGGAGGGCAGGCTGGACTCTCGCTGAGCACTCTCCTGGGGTGGCCAGCAGGGTGGTGAGGGCCACACGGTTCTCCCCGGCCTCCGGGGGAGTCACACCCCGGCTATGGAGCCAGGGCAGCGGGACTGTGCTCCGTGCAAGGGAGTGGGGAGCTGGCGGGGGAGGGGGCAGGTTGCTGGGACTCTCCTTCCCGAGGTGCTCCCTGTCCCCGAGGCAGGTGGACATGCGAGAGGCCAAGACCAAGCAGGGGCAGGGGTTGGGCTAGGCCAGGGCCAGGGCCAGGTCGGCCCATTTCCCGCAGGGACGCCCCTATCCCCACCCGGGGCTGCAGGCCCAGGGTCTGATGCCCCGTGACTGTATATCGCAGTGAGGCCCGGAGTCTGCCCGGCATTGAGGTTTTTATTTTAATAGTTTCTCTAATCTCCCTGAGCATTTCACAGTCACTATCACCATCCTGGTCAGGTGGTCGGTAATATATTCCTACTGCTACATGCTTATTATTCGAGCATGGAATTACTATCCATAAAGATTCTGTGGTACAGTTTGATTCATTTAAGATTTTTACTTCATTTGATTCTACGCTGATCCCGGGATGAGCCGAGTACAGATCTCCACAGGGGCTGACGGCCGCCTGCCTGAGCAGGGGCCGGGCCCGGGGCTCGCTCAGTCAGGAGCCAGAAGCCCCGTCCCATAAACCTGCCCTGAATGATGCCAACTCCCGGCTGGCCTCAGAGACTCTAAGACTGGCAGATCCTTAACATGGACATGGGGCCTTCTCTCCACAAAGAGCGCTGGTGCAGAGGCTAAGGGCACAAGGGGACAGCGGGTGTGGGGTCTACCTTCCTTCCTCCCCTACTCCTCCCCTGCACTTCAGTGAGCGGGCCGGGTCTGACTCCGTGTGGCTGTTGGGTGTTGCAGTGAGGCCTGGAGTCTGCCCGGCATTACCAGGAGGAGCCGTCGGTGCCTGTGAGGAGAGATGCCGTTCTGACAGCGACTGCCCGGGCGCCCAGAAGTGCTGCAGCAACGGCTGTGGCCTGGCCTGCATGGCGGTGACACTTCTCGGTGAGAGGCAGCGGATCCTCGTGCAGGGCCTGTCGTGGATCAGTCCTTAGAAAGGCACATTCAGGTCCACGGGTGGATTTTGAACCCGCTGTGTCCAGGGGACATTCAGCTGGCCCCGCTGTGCCCCAGACTTGTAGGGACCCATCTGCCCAGCACAGCCAGAGACCCTGCACCCAGCCCAGAGCTCCTGGTGGAGCTAGAGCAGACCTTGTAGAAAGAGTCGTTCAGTCTTGAGCTAACGCCCAGGTGACAGAACCCACCACCCCTCTAGGGGAGCAGTTCCCTCCCTGCTCCTTGCTTCTAGCCTGGACATGTGGGGCCCCAACTCCCAGCTACTGCTCTCAGCTCCCTCTCCGTGCAGACAGCTGCAGACCATGACCGAGTCACCTCAACCTTCTGGAGAAACTAAACAGATGGAGCTTCTGCAGTTGCTCCCTGCAGGGCGGCCTCCAGCCGCTGACGCGTTCTCTCTGGCTCATCTCTGCCCCTTCCCAGCGTGTCCGCCTGTCTGCAGTGAGCGGTGGGTCCCTAGCCATAGACCGAGACCACTGGGCGCTCGGGGACTCGCTTACTGCTGGGGCTTGGCCTGCGAGTTACCCGGTGCACACAGAGGTGGCATGGCCCAGGGAAGCCTCCTTTTAACATCTTGGCAACGTGTGCCCCATCCCCAGCAAGCCTCCCCTAGGGCGACCATTTTATAGGGTGTCACGGAGTGGGGGGAGACCAGGCCCTGCACCCCCGGCTTCCTGCGATTCACCAGGACTCTCAGCCAGCCAGTAACACAGAAGGTTTATTTAGATGACAGGAGCACAGTCCAAAACAGGCCTTGCAGGTACAGACAACAAGACCCCCCCGTTAGGTCCATTGGAGGGGGGGGGGCAGGGAGGCCAGAGCCCCATCTGGACTCCCCTCCATTTCCCCAGCCAGCTCCAAACTGAAACTCCCTCCAGTCAGCCTCCCCCCGGCTCCTCCCCCAGCCTTTGTCCAGTTTCCCGGGCAGAGGTATGGTGACCAGATAGCAAATGTGAAAAATCAGGATGGGGGTGGGGGGTAATAGGAGCCTATATAAGAAAAAGACCCAAAAATCGGGACTGTCCCTATAAAATTGGGACATCTGGTCACCCTAGGCAGAGGTGTCACCTGGCCTCCACCCGGGTTCTCATGTTACGTGCTCAGGTCTCCTCCCTCAGGGAAAGTCTCCCACCCCCAATGCAGACAGTCCCAGCCAAACTCCCCTGCAACCTTCCCAGGTCAATACTCCCACTCAGTATTCAAAGAACACATCAAAAACATTTCCACTTTGTCACATCGGGACAGTCCCAATATTCAGGCCTTTTTCTTATATAGGCGCCTATTACCCTCCACCCTCTGTCCCGAACTTTCACGCTTTCTATCTGTCACCCTGGCCTCCCCCCTCTGTGATGTCCAGCCGGGGGTGCTGGCGGGAGCTGATCCGCATGTGCGCAGCCATTTGCAGACGGTTTGCTCCTGAGCTGCCCGGGCTGGTTACCCTGCTAGGACTCCGCTGTCCTGGGCAGCCCTGCTCCCAGCGGAGGGACAGGCCAGGGCAGAGGGCGCAGGATGGATCTCTGAGGGAGGTGGGCACTGATTTCTCCAGCCCCTCCCTTCCCAGCGCACTGTGTGTCTCACCCTTTGGCTGCTCTGTCTCAGTGAAACCTGGCGTGTGCCCAGCCAGAGGCCCAGGGGCCAGCGGGGAGCCCTGTCTATCCCCCTGCGCCCAGGACAGCGATTGCAGAGGAACCGCCAAGTGCTGCCCCCTCGGCTGTGGCCGCACCTGCCTCGCCCCTCAGAAAGGTGAGTCTGCTGCCCGCTCTGAACGCGCTGAGCCCGGCCCCACAGGCAAGGCTCCCTAGACTTAGCAGGTGAGAGGCATCCGGGACATGCAGGGAAGGGCCAGGACCCACCGCAGAACCACGCCCTGAATGATCCCCACTCCCCAGCCAGCGGCTCAGACTCGGGCCATCGTTCCCACAGGGAGCTCAGTCCCAGGGGCCGGGGATGGGGCGTGGGGCACAGAGCGCTGGGGGCGAGGGGGCAGAGGACGTGGGCCTAGAGAGCTGGGGACTGGGGACCAAGATGGAGCAGAGTGAGGACAGACAGGGCAGGAGCGCTGGCTGCACGGAGGGCACATGAGCTGAGGCCGAGAGGGGACTGGCTGCTGAGGGCAAGGCCTGGGGGAGAGGACTGGACGTGCCAGGGCCCAAGCCAGGCGTGGGTCAAAGAACAGAGAGGGGCGACCTCTGAGAATGCAAAGGGCAAGGAGAGGCTAGGGAAGGTGCCAATGCAGCAGGCCAGGGGACTGGTTCTGGGCCACCCTTCAGGCCTGGCCCAGCCCAACCCATTTCCCCAAGGATCCCCCCGCCTGCCGCCCCATTCCCGCATGGAGTCGCTGGGACTGGGCTGGGGCAGCTCTGTGACTGGGCAGGGCCTCACCGCCACGCGCCCGGCCTGTGTTCCAGAGAAACCGGGGCTTTGCCCAGCATTTAAAATCAGAGACGAGGGGCCTCCCCTGACGCTGTGCCAGCAGGACAGCGACTGCCACAAGAGAGACAAGTGCTGCAGGATGGGCTCCAGCTACGTCTGTGCACCGCCCTCCCCCACGGCAGGTGAGACAGAACGTGCCCGTGTGGGCTGCTCCAGGTGCACCCCGTCACTCCCTCCCAGGGGCCGATGGCTCGAGGGCCGTTTCCCAGTTCAGAGGCTGGGATCCTCTGGAGCCCGGGACCTTTATGTGTGGGGGGGCAAGGGCACCAGGAGGCGGAGCAGTGAGGGACTAGGGGGACAGGCAGTGAGCAGAGACCTCTGACAGCATATGGGGAGGGTGGGGTGCCTATGAGGGGGGCTGAGAACAGAGGCAACCGGGCCTTTTCCTCCTAAGATACAGTCCTGGGAACAAAAAGGTCTCAGTGCAGGGAGTGGGGAACAGCTGGAACTCAAGGGCAGAGGCTGGATGGAGGAGAGAGCAGGGTCTTTTGTCAGCCCCATTCCCCTCGTCCCCCCGATACCAGCTGGAGCGTTAGGGTTTGTCGGGATGGGGCGTCACTGCCCTGTGACCGCACTGTGTTGCAGCGGAACCCGGTGCTGGCCCAGCGACCCCCGAGGGGCACAGTGGGCAGAGATGCCGCAGTGACCGGGACTGTCCGGGAGCAGAGATGTGCTGCAGCCATCGGTGCCGCGCAGAGTGCCCCGCGCAGGGCGAAGGTAAACCCCACGCTGTGCCAGTGGCAGCAGGAATCCGAGCTGTGACCATCCCTCGCCCCCGTCGGTTTGGTACTAATGCTACCCACAGCCCCAGCCTTCGGCCAGTCGCCTTCTGGGGGGCAGAACTGGACTCTGGGGAACGGCAGCTCCCCTCCTGGTTGGTGAAGAGGGTCACTCCAGGGAGCTGCAGGGGTTTTAGAATGGGGCAGCACCCAGGGGCAGGGAGATCCTGGCTTTGCCCATCATTACCTGGCATTACGGGGCATGGAGCTGAGAGAAGGGAAAGGATAACGCTGGGCAGGGAGAGGGCTAAGTGTGATGAACGGCGCACGGAGCTAGCGGAACGGGACAGGCACCAGGGTCCTTCTTCAGTCCTGGTTCCCTCGGGACACCCCCTTCCCCATGGAGTTGTGAGGCTACAGCTGGTGCGGCTCTGGGCCCAGCCGGGGTCTCACTGCCATGGCGCCATTCTGTGTAACAGGGACCCCCACATCTGGCCCAGCCACCCCCGAGGGGCATGGTGGGCAGAGATGCTACAGTGACCAGGACTGCCCGGGAGCAGAGAGGTGCTGTAGCCATCGGTGCCGCCAGGCGTGCCCAGCGCAGGGCAGTGGTGAGTTTCCGTGTGCTGGGAACACACTGACAGGACCGCGCAGGGGGTGGACAGGAACAGGGGCTAGAGTGGGGGTAGGCAACCTATGGCACGGGTGCCGAAGGCGGTATGCGAGCAGATTTTCAGTGGCAGTCACACTGCCCAGGTCCTGGCCACCGGTCCGGGGGGCTCTGCATTTTATTTCATTTTAAATGAAGCTTCTTAAACATTTTTAAAACCTTATTTACATTACATACAACAATAGTTTAGTTCTATATTATAGACTTCTAGAAAGCCAGCATCCCACACTCCCCACATCGGCAGCACCCGGCTCTTAGCGCCCAGCCCTCCACCTGATCACAGGTGGCTTGGGCCAGCGACGCTCCCTTCCCCGGTGGGCTCAGACCCCTCCCTCATCCCCTGGCCTTGCCTTGGCCTCCCTCTTGCCAGCTCCGTGACTGCCCCGGCCTCTGTCTGCCCAGGGAAGCCTGGATTCTGCCCCGTGCGCAACGGGCTCTACTTCAGCTATGACTGTGACGCCAGATGCCAAGGGGACGGCGAGTGCCCCGGGGCCCAGAAGTGCTGCCTGCGCGGCTGCGACCACGAGTGCTTGGCCCCTTCTGAAGGTAGGAGATGGTTCAGGTTGCACCTGGGCAAGGCTGGGGGGCGTCTGTGGCCTCCCAGCAGGGCAGTGAGACGCTGGTCCTGAAGGAAGCCCCAGCTACTGCTACAGGGGAGAGACAGAGCAGAGCCAGTCCCTGCGGGTTTGTTGGGGTGTCTGGGATATGCCAGCCTGGCATGTGCCCAAGGCTCTCAGACAAGCTCCCAGGCATAGGGCCCCGGAGCCACCATATCTGTGCAGAGAGACAGGGCTCAGGGATCCCAGGGCTCAGCCTGCAAAAACAAGTCACCCCGTGACTGTGACATCACGACAGACCGACCAGTGACGAGTCAGTCGGGAGCGTGACATCACAACAGAACAACTAGTGACAAGTCAGTCGGGAGCGTGACATCACGACAGGCTGACCAGTGACGAGTCAGAGGGGAGCGTGACATCACGACAGACCGACCAGTGACGAGTCAGTCGGGAGCGTGACATCACGACAGACCGACCAGTAACGAGTCAGTCGGGAATGTGACGTCACAACAGAACGACCAGTGACGAGTCAGAGGAGTGTGACATCACAACAGAACAACCAGTGACAAGTCAGAGGGAGCGTGACATCACGACAGACCGACCAGTAACGAGTCAGTCGGGAGTGTGACGTCACAACAGACCGACCAGTGACGAGTCAGAGGGGAGCAGCCGTCTCAGCGGTGGGGCTCAGTGACCTAGGCATAGATCAGCAGCGCACCAGGAGAGCCAGTGGATCTGGTGGGGAGGGTGCTCGTCCCGTCACACAGACCCCTGTGAGCCCCCTCACTCCTCTGCCTTCTGCTTTGCAGAGAAGCCCGGCATCTGCCCCCTGACAGACGGGACAACGTCCGATTCCCCCTCGTGCAAGTCCTCGTGCGCAGAGGACAAGGAGTGTGCAGGGGACCAGAAGTGCTGTGACAGTGGGTGTGGCCGGACATGCCAGGCCCCGGAGAGAGGTAACTCGAGCAGCAGGGCTGGGCTCCCCTCACTCCAGCATGAGGCTGTCACCCCCGTGAGCATCCACTGGAGCCCCCTTGCCCCGCCGGTGCATCCCCAGCAGAAAAGGGTTAACGCAAAGGGTTAATGCTCTGTGCTGTGATGGCCAGTGGTTGTGTGCGAGGGAGGCCGAGGGCAGCTGGAGACCTCCCCCGCCCCACGCCAGGTGCTGCCTGTGCTCCAGTGCGCCGATGGGCCAGGAGCCCCCGCTCCAGCACAGGGGTGCCCGGCGCAAGGTGTGGAGACGTCTGCTAAGCAGCTGTTCCCCAGGCTTTGGGCAGCCCTGGGTGGTGGGGAGGGGAGCTGCAGCCCCCTCTGGACTCCAGGGCGAGGCTGGAGAGCCAGGTACCAGCAGAGGCAGCACTAAGAACCCCCCAGTGCAGCTCCAAGAGGCCAGAGGGTGCAGGAGAATGGCCTGGCTGGCTGTGCCATCGCCCTAAGGAGGGTGTGGTGGGTCCCCACTGTGACACCCTCTATCCAGCAGCCTCCAAACCTGCCCTTCTCCCCCCCTCTCGTCAGAGAAACCTGGCGCGTGCCCAGCGCAGAAGCCCTGGCAAACACTGGTGCCGTGCAACGAGGAGGACACCTGCGCTCATGACCGGGATTGCCCCAGGCAGGAGAAGTGCTGCTTCGCCGGGTGTGCCATGCACTGCGGCCCCCACTACAAAGGTAACCAGCTAGGCTGCAGCGACACCCCCCAGAGGGACCAGCCCCATTCGTCCGGGGCAGACTGGCAGTCCAGGGAGAGAAAGGGCCCTATGCCAGGGCAGGGCAGAAGAGAGAGGGTGGATGGGGGTGCAGGAGCCAGGAGTGAGCTTGGGCTGGAGGGGGCTGAAAGTCTGGTGGGGACCCTCCCCCATGGGCAGTTCTCATTACAGGCTGATATGGAGGGTCCCCTGCCTGCCACGGAGGGGTTCATTGTCCCTCTCTCATCCCCTCCCGCTCCCCAGAGCATCCCGGTGCCTGTCCCAGGGCAAAGGCCTGCAGCGACCCGACGCAGCGCCGGTCAAACCAGTGCCTGGACGACCACGTGTGCGAGAGACACGAGAAGTGCTGCGAGACGGGGTGCCGCCGGGAGTGTGTGGCCGTGCGCACAGGTACGGGCACGCTCCCTTCCCCGGCCCTGGGCTTCCCTGGGCTCTGCGCACCCCTGTGATCAGGCGTCCGGGCCCCCTGCTGTCTTACAGAGAGCGAGGACAAGTCTGGGGACGGCACCACGGGCCCCTGCGTGGACGAGTGCAGGGCTGACGAGGAGTGTCCCAAAGGACAAAGATGCAGAAGCAATGGCTGCGGCCGTGTCTGCCAGGAAGTCTCCCGAGGTCAGGCTAGACCTAGAGCCTGGGGGCAGCATGGAGTTTGGGCCTGCACAGGCCACGGACCAGCATGCAAAGGGGCACTGCTCGGGTGGGGCCCCATGCCAGGGAAAGGAGAGTTGGTATCGCTGTGCATGGGCAAGGGAAGCTTCCCTCTGCAGTCACTGCTCACAGGCCGTGCAGGGCTGATGTGAAGGTCTAGCCCTCAGCGTCAGGCCCTGCCCTGCACGTCAGCACTGACCGAGCCCGCCTCTCCCAGGGCCCAGACGTCAGCGTCTCTGCCAAAGCTGGCAGGGGTGTTTCTTCCTGGCCAGGACCCTCGTTCCTGCTTGGGTCGAGCTCTGTCCCAGCCAGGTTCTGTCCTGCCCTCGTGCCTGGAGTGCGGGAGGCGCTGTGCCTGACATCAGTCCCGTGGCTGGATTGCTCCCCGGGCAGGGGACGGTCTGTGCTGGCCGTGTTGTTGGTGCTCATTTATTCTGGTCGTTTGGGGCTGCTGTGTGTTTATCCTGGAGAAGGCTGGTCGGAGCAGCGCCCCATGCATGGGGGAGGTTTGGGGTGGCCCCTCGCTCCTGCAGGAGCTTGTTCCAGTCTGGGGCCAGCCCCAAGGCAGTTCTGTCTCCTGCCCAGATGAGCTTTACCCTCCTGGGGCGGCTCCATCCCAGCCTCATCCCAGCGCTCTAGGCTTGGTTGGACGTGCAGGGCCCAGGCCCTGAGCACTTTGAAGATAAGGCCTGGGGCTTTGAAGTGGAAGGGCCCCTTCAAGGGTCTCTGGGCACCCAGAGGGCAGCACTCTGGGGCCTTCCGTCACCCTGGTTGGGCCAATTCCCTCAGGTCCCCTGTTCCCACATGGAGTCGCTAGGCTCCAGCAGGCCAGGTGTCTCATGGGCACGTGGCCGCTCTGTGTTGCAGGCGTCTGCCCGAGGCCCCTGGGCTTTGGGGCGTGCGTGGAATTGTGCTTTGCTGATGTGGAGTGTCCCAGGGGACAGAAGTGCTGCAGCAATGGGTGTGGCCACGTCTGCATGACGGCAATCACCGGAGGTGAGCTCAGGCCAGGTCAGCCCTGCCCCAGATGCAGGCGCTCCCGTCCATGCAGGGCCCAGGGATGTGCCCCTAGCCGAGCAGGGAGGAGGGGTCGGGTCACTCAGGGAAGGGGCAGGACCCCAGCCCCAGTAACCAGCCCTGGGTGATCCCGCTGCCCCCCAGGCCCAGGAGCTCAGAGTTTCTACTCAAACTGCTTCTCTCCTTCCTGAGCCCTCTTCCCACAGGCAGGGCCGGCTCCAGGGGTTTTGCCGCCCCAAGCGGCGGAAAAAAAAAAAAGCCACAATCGTGATCGGCGGCAATTCAGCAGTAGCTCCACCGTGCCGCTTTCTTCGGTGGCACTTCGGCGGCAGGTCCTTCCCTCCGAGAGGGACCCAGGGACCCGCCGCCGAAGAGCCCGATGTGCCGCCCTCTCCCCTTGGCCGCCCCAAGCACCTGCTTGCTGAGCTGGTGCCAGGAGCCGGCCCTGCCCACCATGGGGAGCTCCCAGCTCCAGATGCCAAGGGCTGGAGGCTGAGCCCATGTCCTGGGGCTGTTCTGTGTTCCAGGGAGACCTGGCCTGTGTCCAGAGCCCCAAGGGAAAGGCCTTTGTGTGGAGCGATGCCGGGAGGACGAGGAGTGTCCCAGGGGGAAGAAGTGCTGCAGTAATGGGTGTGGTCACGTCTGCATGTCCCTGATCTCTGCAGGTAAATTTAGTCCCTCAGTATTAGCGTCTCCAGAGCTGAGCCCTGCCCCACACGCGGACTCTGGGCTCTTGGGGCAGGGCCCGTGTGTGGCCAGCACCCAGCCCCACAGGGCCCTGGCCTCTCGGTGCCACCACCAGACATTGCGACATTATTCCTCCTTCCCTCCCCTGCCGCACGCACCAAGAGTTTTTCTGTGAGGAGAACAAGGGCTGGGAGGCTGGGTAAGACCGGTCCTGCCCAGCACAGACAGCTGGGTCCGCTGGCATCTCGCCTCTTTGCTGCGGCGTTTGTGGGCCTGCCGTGCCACCAGTGTCACGGGCGGGGTCTGGGCGGATCCTTCGGAGATCTGCAGTGAGAAGTCAGCAGGATTTGGGGAGCCGGGGGGGCCTGTCGGGGTTTTATGGACACAGACACTCTACAGCTTGGAGGGGGAGCTCCAGCCATGAGCCAGCTCACCCCGTCTGGAGGAGTCCAGGTGCCACACAGACGGGTGGCTTCTCCAGCGGCAGCAGAGGCCCTTTGAGGGTGCATCTCCCGTCAGGAAGCAGCTGAGGGAGCCTAGCAGTGAGCCACCCCTGGGGGCTCCCATGCACACCCCCATCCATCCTGCAGCTCAGGCCATGACAGAGGTCACCACTGGCCTTCCCCAACCTGGCAGAGTTCTCACAGCTTAACCCCCTCCCTCTTAGGGTGAAAGTCTCCTGCCAGCTGGGACCTTCTCCCGCCCGGCCCCCATCCTACATCAGCCTGTGGCTAATCAACCCCTTCCCCTTCTCCTGCATCCCCTGTGGCTGGAGTTACTGTGCCCTAGAGAGTAGCTGGAGGGACCCAATCTGCGGCTGGGGGGGTGCTTGGCACCTGAGGGCAGGAGGGGCAGTTTGCAATGTCACTGGACTCCCTCCTCCAGCTGCTTCTCCCCATCCCAGCCCTGGCTGCCCCTTGCTCCCCATTGCCTACCACAATGCGCCCAGGATGCGGAGGGCCCGTCCTGGCTCCGCTGGGAGCTGGCACCAGGGTGTGACGGCCTCAGCAAGGCCCAGCCAGCCAATCAGAACATGGCTCTGGGCAGTCAGGGTCCCCAGCCAGATCCTAACCAACCCCCGGGTGCTGGGATCCGTGGGTGCTACCACGCGACTGGGCCCACCGGCTCCCTAGCACACCCCCGTACAAGGCCCTCTGGTCTCCTCCTGCTGCAGAGAAGCCTGGGACCTGCCCACCGGACCCAGCGAAGTGTCGACACGCAGCCCCCCCGGAGTGTGACAGTGACGGCGGGTGCCCTGGGAGGAAGAAGTGCTGCTTTAGGACGTGTGCCATGCGCTGCATAGACCCAGAGGAAGGTACCAGTCATGCAGCCAATCACTGCGCACGGGGGTGTAGGGCCGAGCGAGCGCTCACGGCTCTGGTTGCACCGGGCCCGTTGGGAGGGGTGTGCCGCCCCCGGCTGCTGGCACAGATCACTGCACTGGCCTTACTCCTATCCAGGGGCACCAGGCCCTGCTTCACCAGGGCAGGACCCGGGTACCTGGCCGCTTCCCAGCTTTCCTATGGGACAGGGAAACTGGGCATAGGCTGGTGCGGGGCCTGACGCTCCCCCAACACGTGGGTCCCCCCCAGAGCTGGAATGGGGCTGGGACAGGGTCCCCAGGAGCATATGGGAAGTGGGGTGTTCAGCAGAACGTGGGGCAGGGAAAGGGGTAAGTCTGTGCCCAAAGCTTGGAGAAACGTGTCCCGTAGCCCGCCCGTGCTGTGAGCACTGAGCTTGTTTGTGTTTCAGATGCTGTATAACGAGCGGGCCCAGCGCTGCAGGAGCTGAAAGGAAGCCACACCTTTATCACGGGACAGCCCATCGTTAGAACCCCCTCCCGCCTGCTCTGCCCATGTAACCTCCAGACCACGACAGACTCCCCAGCAATAAAGCGAGTGCCGGCGCCAGGCCTGAGTCCTGTGTTCCCTGCCGAGCTGGGCTTTCCAGCCACGAGCCCGCCCGGCGGGTCCCTCTGGGCGCAGCTGAGAAGATGCCAGATTTCCTCAAATCCGCCTTGCTGGAACCACAGAGCGGAGCCACTGCCAGCCCCGGGGGCGGAGACATGGCTCCTGAGACCCAGCGCCAGCCCAGCCCTGCTGAGCTGAGGGAAAACGGCGCCCCGGGATGAGTCCTGCCCCCTTATTCAGACTGAACTCAAGCCACTCGCTGGCTCTGCCCCCAAGTCCCACCTCCCGAGCGCCTCCCATCCCGCTGCCCTGGGGCTCCAGAGAGCCCCCGTAGCCAGGGGGGGAGCAGAGCGCTCTCCCCCCAGAACCCAGGCACTCACTGTAGCTCTGCTCCAGCTCTGCTTCCTGCTCCTCGTCCTCGTCCTCGTCCCCTCGGCTCCCCAGCTCGGGCGCCAGGCGGTGTCAGAGCTGAGCTGCCTCGGTTATAAAACCGACTGAGCCCAAGTAACCAAACAAAGGCAACGGGCCTGTGCTGGGGGCTGCCCATGGGCCCCCTGAGTCTTGAGCTCCCCTGGAAGCATCAGGGCAGGCAGCAGCACTCAGCCGCCCTTCAACAACCCAGCAGCAGTTGAAGGACAAAGGGGGTGTCCTCCAGGGACATCAGTGGCTATGGGCAAGGGGGGCAGTTGTCCCCTCCAGACTTAACTAGGGCTGTAGGCTCCATTATCTCTTTGCTCCCCCACCCGACTAGGGAGACAATCGTTAGGAAAGCAATAATTGCCTCATTCTTCTCATGTTGCTCTGTGGGACAGGCAATGCTCTCCGTGCCCACCACCAGAAATCTTCTGAAAAGCTGCCCTTGTTCTCCCAACATCACTGCCCCTGCTAGGGGGTCTGCACTCCCACCACACCCCAGCCCATCGCCTGGCCATCTCCCAGGCTCTCTAGGCTGGGATTAGTTGCCTCCCGGGTGCTTGAGGAAGCTGTCGTGGTTTTACTTGCCATTGGGATAGAATCCCAGCTCACAGCTGTGAAACCCCAACCCCTGAGCATCACAAAACCGAACCCCGGCAGCGTGCCCCTGGCCTAGCAGGGCTGAGCTAAGCTCCAGCCTGGGAGTGAGCCCTGGAAGGGGGGACAGGCAGGGAGATCAGTGAAGGGACAGAGCTGGGGACACGTTTCAGGCCAGGCACAGAATGGCACAGCTGACGTGGTTGCCCTGTGTAGAACCCAAACTCCAGGGATGAGCCGTTTCCATGTGTTCCTAAGCCCCTTCTAAAGCCCCAGCAGAGACCTCACTTGGGCCCATATGTTAGAACCACCCAGTTCTCCTGAGCCCTGGGGTCAGGCCTCCCTTCCTGCCAGCAAATCCCCCAGAGCTGCTACTAGACCCTGTCCCGGGAGCCCCAGACACATCCTAGCAACAGTCAAGGGAGCTGAGCCCGGCAAGCAGCTCCTCCCACACAGCAACAAGCCCCAGCAGTAGGGGAAGGGAAACCCACCTGTATTTATAGGGTTTGTTTCCCCAGCCTCACCAATCACAGGGCAGAAGAGTCCATTTGGGTCCAGAAGGGGAGCTCTGGCTTTGTGTGCATGGCTGTCTGCCCTGCTAATGAGAGGCCAGGCCCAGAATGGGCTGGATTCTTTGTGGGTCGAAGCAGAACAGACCTGCAACCTGGGGGAAGGGGGGATTGATTTGATTTTCTCATTTCCATTGCCTGGCAAGCTGGTTCCACCAACCTGTCTGAGTGGACTCTCCCAGGGGAGGGGTGGAGCCAGAGCCTTTAAATTCATCTCCTGAGGCTGTGCCCAGGTTGGTTGGGGCTGGGGCTTGGTGTTGGTGTCCTGAACTGTGAATTTGGCAGCGTCTTTGTTTGCTGCTATAAGACCCCTATGTGGGTGATGCCCCGATTTAGAACACATCAACTCTTCTTCTACTGGGGTGGGGTCTCCTGGCTGCTCCCTGGCCAGCTCTGGTGGGGTGTGAGGGGTGGGGGCTTGGTGACAGGCATGGCTGTGTACTTGCAGTAACCCTTTCCAGGGAGAGTTTTTCAGCTGGAGCTGAGCATCCTGGGGTGATAATGCCCCTGCACCTCTAGAAATACTTGCTAGTGCTATTTCAGTGATGAGGCACCAGACCCCGCCTGGGGTGACGGGGTGACGATAGTTTATTTTTATTATAGTGGAAGGCGAACGCTCCCCCTGGGATCAGGTCCTTTGGGCCAGATGCTGTGCAAACACAGAAGAGACAGCCCCTGACCCAGGGAGCTCACCCTCCGCCCACCCAGGCAAGACAAGGGTGGCAGGGAAATAGAAGCGCAGAGACCTGCCCAGAGTCGCAGTGCAGAGATTTGAACCCAAGTCTCCTGGCTGCCAGTCCAGTGCCTTATCTTAACCACGTTGCCTCTTCCTGTAGCTGGGTGGGTGTCTGAACAGGGCAGGCCCAGCAGATAAAAATGGGTGGTTCTGACACGAAGGGTGAGACGAGAGAGTGGCAGGGTCGCCAGCCAAAAGAACTAGAAACTCATGAGACTGTCCAAAGTACTAAGCGCTGGGTCTCGTTCTTTGCCGGCTGGGGCTGTTGCTCGTGCCCCGGCTACGATTTCAGGCTTTTCTGCACAACCATTGTTTTAAATGAAGCTGAGATTCCTGTGCTCCCATGACTCCAGGAGCTGGGGCTTCAAGGAAAGCACGTGCTGGCACGAGAGTCACTGTAGCGAAGGGTGCAGAGCAGCAGGCGGGGAGGAAGGGGATCGTGGTGGGGCCTTGGCAGGGGACCCTGCTGCCCATACACTAGGGCTGTGTACTCCCAACACCCGATGTGCCCTGGAGTCCGAAGTGCCCCCCCCCAGCCCCCTCCAGTAGGGAAGCGGTGGCAGAGTCTTCACTGCAGCCAGAGGTGCGTGCACAGCTCCCTCCCCTCCCAAGGGCGGGAGTGACACAACCTACTTCTGTTTGAAAAGGATCAGTCCTTGTATTTAACCCCACGGACCCCAGCGAGGTCCCAGGAAAAGGGGCGTTTGGCTGATAGCCCCTCTCTCCTGCCTGCCGGCTCTGTGCTAAGCGTTAACACACAGCACACATGTCCATGGCTACAGAACGGCAATGGGGCTGGGGCCAGCTCGGGGGCTGCAGGAGCTGGCCCTGCACCTGGGAGGCAATGCAACCACCTCCAGCCAAACCCTGCTGCAGAGTGTCCGGGGGAGCAAAGGTCTGGGCTTCCCAGGCAGGGGGAGTCGTTTCCCGCAGAAAGGGACAGGAATTGTGCCCAGAAAGACGGTCACCAGCCCGGAACGGCAGCTTCCTCTTCGGCTCCCCTATGCTGACCAGGGCTAGGCAGTGCCTGCAACAGAAAGGCAATGGGGTCAGGCCCAGGGCGTGCCCACGGCACCTCTCCTTCCCAGCTCCCTCCAAAGATGGCCCTTCCCCCACCTAGTACGTGGGGCGGCTCCCCCTCCCTCCCAGACTTGGGGGCCTGCTGGCATCTTGGGCACCGAGCCCTGCCCTGAGAGGCCCAGGTCCCAAGGCAGCCCTGGGCCCCGCCCCTGGCGCTGGGCCGCACACTCCATTTACCAGGCTGCCTGCAGGCCTGCAGACATTCCTCCTTCGTCTCAAAGTTGTTCTTGTTGCCGCCACAGCCGCCGTACACAAACTCCTCGCAGGCCTGGCTGGACCAGTTGTAGAAGAAGCGCGGGAACCTGGCCTTGCAATAGCCGCACACCGACGGCAGGTGGCAGAGATCTGCAGAGCAAGGGGGGGCTGTGAGAGGGAGAGGAGGACGCACCAGCTGCCTCTGCCATCCAGGGCATCGGGGCGCTGTGCTCAGAGGGGCCTGTGAAGTGGGGCGGGGGTGGAGGGCAGCAGAGCAGTTCTGTTGCACACGCCCCTCGTCCAGTCACCTGACACCATGCCCATGGGCACGATCACGCCTGGCATCAGACCCATCCTGCCCCCCACCGCCCAGCTCGGCTACCTCAGGCCTCCTGCCGAGGGTCAGGGCCGGCCCCACAGGGGAACTCCAAGCCCAGGCGCAGGCTGGCTGCAATGGCGCGTCTGCCTGTTAGCGCAAAGGGGCCGTGCCCACTGCTGGGGTGAGCGTTACACGCGGCGTGGCAGTGGGCGCATTGCTAATGCCCGGCCCATTCGCCAGGGACCCCATGCAGAGGGCAGCATCCGCCCAGCCAAGAGCTGGAGCGAGTTAATGAGTTGGTAGCTGGCAGGGCCGGCTCCAGGGTTTTGGCCGCCCCAAGCAGCCAAAACAAACAGCCGCGATCGCGATCTGCGGCGGCAATTCGGCGGGAGGTCCTTCGCTCCCAGGCGGAGTGAGGGACCGTCCGCCGAATTGCCGCCGAATACCTGGACATGCCGCTGGGGTCTGGAGCCTGCACCTCAGACGGGTCATTCTCTACCAGCTGAGCAATCAGCCGCTCCTTACTGAGCCTCCCCACGCTCAGCCCCCTCCCCCTGCAGAGACGGGCCTCCCAGGGGTCCAGAGCGAGGGGATTCCCATGGCAGAGACAGACGTGCTCAGGCTCAGAGAGGTGCGGGTCCAGGAGGTGGAGGGGCCTGACCCCGAGAGAGAGTGGACCCCCGAGAAGGGCTGTCGCACTGACGGGCACCCCCCACGGACCGCACAGGGCCACGAGTGGGCATGATCTGTGAGTCCGTGACATCCATCTAGCCCAGTGTCCTGTCTGCCAACAGTGGCCAGTGCCCCAGAGGGAATGATCAGACCAGGGAATCACCAAGTGATCCATCCCCTGTCGCCCATTCCCAGCTTCTGGCAAACAGGCCAGGGACACCATTGCTGGCCTGTACATTAGTCTCAGCCCGGCTCCCTGTGCCTGGAGGAGGAGGAGGCCGCTGCACCCCGCCCAGCAGCAGCCTCCCTACGGCCCTCGGGGTGCTGAGCCCCCAGCGCCATCTCGGCCCGTCGGGCCGGGCATTCTGCTCTGGGGGACCGTTCCCAGCTATGGGGGGCAGGGGCCAGGACCCCCC